TGCGCCGGGAGCCCGCGTCCCTCTGTGTGTCTGTGTGTCCCTGATGGGGGGTGTCCCTACTGGAGTGTGTGTGTGTGTGTGTGTCCCTGATGGGGGGGTGTGTCCCTGATGGGGGGTGTCCCTACTGGAGTGTGTGTGTGTGTGTGTGTCCCTGATGGGGTGTTCGTGTCCCTGCTGCTGTGTGTGTCCATGTGTCCCTGATGGGGGGGTGTCCCATCTGTGGGTCTGGGTGCACATGCCTGCATCTGAGCCTTTGACTGCTTGTGCGTGCATCTGGCTGCCTGAGCTCTGGGTGTCCCTGGGCTCCGCTGGACGCTGCATGGGGCCTCACTCATGTGGAAATGGGGGCCAGCCCCTCGCCAGGGTTCCTGCTGGCGCCGGCCGGTGGCCAGGCATGGGGGAGCCGGCTGCATGTGTCAGACATGCCGGCCCTGGGGCACTGGGCTGCAGCGCCAGCCCAGCTGGAAGAACCGGGAACGTCTCTGCTCCGGCCTCGGCGCCATGTCCCCCCGCCCTTTACGTGCCTGTCGGGGCCGTGCCGCCCCTTTGCAATGGGCCCCGAGGCCCCCGAGCTAACCAGAGAGCAAAGGGACCCCCAGCTCCCCGCCCTGCAGGGCTCCCTCTGCTGCCAGCCGCGCTCAGGCTGGGCTGCCCTACAGAGATCGCTGGGCCCCATCCAGCCCCCATCCTGAGCGGGCGAGGGGCTCACAAGGTCAGCGGCGTCACTCCCCCAGCAGAGCAAAGTGCCGAATCCGCAAGGGCGGGTCCCGCTTGGAGCCGTGCTGGGCGGCTCGCGGCAGCTGCAGAGTGGTGCCCAGCAGGCAGCGGGCTGGCAGTGAGCCAACGCAGGCTGGCATGGGGCACAGGCAGCCCGGCGGGCGGGTCTCCTCGGCAGGCGTCCCAGAGCAGGTGGGGTTCGGGAGCGTGGGCTGGGCAGCAGGGCCACGGTGGGGGGCAGTCAGCGAACGCCGCGCCCCCCGCGGGCAGGGCCTCACGGGGATGCCAGGCTCAGGATGGCCCGGGCAGAGCGGAGGTTGAGGGCCCCGTGGGCAGGGCACCAGGGTCCAGACAAGCAATTGCCTTAGCAAAGAGCCCGGACTCTGCCTCAGCTCCTGCCTGCGGCCCCGGCAACTGGAGCGGGTGGTGACTCTGCTCTGGGGACGCCCAGATGCCCTTTGGGAGGGGCCGAGGGATGCCCTTTGGGAGAGGCCAAGGGATGCCCTTTGGGAGGGGCCGAGGGATGCCCTTTGGGAGAGGCCAAGGGATGCCCTTTGGGAGGGGCCGAGGGATGCCCTTTGGGAGAGGCCAAGGGATGCCCTTTGGGAGGGGCCGAGGGATGCCCTTTGGGAGAGGCCAAGGGATGCCCTTTGGGAGGGGCCGAGGGATGCCCTTTGGGAGAGGCCAAGGGATGCCCTTTGGGAGGGGCCGAGGGATGCCCTTTGGGAGAGGCCAAGGGATGCCCTTTGGGAGGGGCCGAGGGATGCCCTTTGGGAGAGGCCAAGGGATGCCCTTTGGGAGGGGCCGAGGGATGCCCTTTGGGAGAGGCCAAGGGATGCCCTTTGGGAGGGGCCGAGGGATGCCCTTTGGGAGAGGCCAAGGGATGCCCTTTGGGAGGGGCCGAGGGATGCCCTTTGGGAGAGGCCAAGGGATGCCCTTTGGGAGGGGCCGAGGGATGCCCTTTGGGAGAGGCCAAGGGATGCCCTTTGGGAGGGGCCGAGGGATGCCCTTTGGGAGAGGCCAAGGGATGCCCTTTGGGAGGGGCCGAGGGATGCCCTTTGGGAGAGGCCAAGGGATGCCCTTTGGGAGGGGCCGAGGGATGCCCTTTGGGAGAGGCCAAGGGATGCCCTTTGGGAGGGGCCGAGGGATGCCCTTTGGGAGAGGCCAAGGGATGCCCTTTGGGAGGGGCCGAGGGATGCCCTTTGGGAGAGGCCAAGGGATGCCCTTTGGGAGGGGCCGAGGGATGCCCTTTGGGAGAGGCCAAGGGATGCCCTTTGGGAGGGGCCGAGGGATGCCCTTTGGGAGAGGCCAAGGGATGCCCTTTGGGAGGGGCCGAGGGATGCCCTTTGGGAGAGGCCAAGGGATGCCCTTTGGGAGGGGCCGAGGGATGCCCTTTGGGAGAGGCCAAGGGATGCCCTTTGGGAGGGGCCGAGGGATGCCCTTTGGGAGAGGCCAAGGGATGCCCTTTGGGAGGGGCCGAGGGATGCCCTTTGGGAGAGGCCAAGGGATGCCCTTTGGGAGGGGCCGAGGGATGCCCTTTGGGAGAGGCCAAGGGATGCCCTTTGGGAGGGGCCGAGGGATGCCCTTTGGGAGAGGCCAAGGGATGCCCTTTGGGAGGGGCCGAGGGATGCCCTTTGGGAGAGGCCAAGGGATGCCCTTTGGGAGGGGCCGAGGGATGCCCTTTGGGAGAGGCCAAGGGATGCCCTTTGGGAGGGGCCGAGGGATGCCCTTTGGGAGAGGCCAAGGGATGCCCTTTGGGAGGGGCCGAGGGGCGTGGCAGGCTGTCTGTAGGGCTGTCCCAGGCGCGGTGCCGTCCGACCGCCTCTGAGGCCCCGTCTCTCCCCAGCTGGCGCAGGACTCCCTCCCGCAGAACAGCTCCCAGCGCATCCACGCCTTCTCCACCACCACGCTCAGCGACATCATGAAGTCCTTCTCGGACGTGAGCACCATCCGCGTGGCCGGGGGCTACCTCCTGATGGTACGTCCCCTCCCTCGCTGCTGGGCCCTGCCCCGGATGGCCCCGCCCCCATAACCCTGCCCCATGCTCTGCTTCCAGCTGGCGTACGCCTGCGTGACCATGCTGCGCTGGGACTGCTCCAAATCCCAGGGGGCCGTGGGCCTGGCTGGTGTCCTGCTGGTGGCTCTCTCCGTGGCGTCGGGACTCGGGCTCTGCTCCCTGCTGGGGATCTCCTTCAACGCAGCCACCACCCAGGTACCGCACGCCAGGGCGGAGCCCGGGGAGATCTGGCCGGCCGAGCTCGCCCTCCTGCACAGGGCTGCCCTTCTCACCCGCTCTGCAGCGGGATGGAGACGGCAGGGGTCACGTGGGCACTCAGCCCTTGCCATCAGGGCTGGCCCGGTGCAGCGCTAGGGGGCGCTGTGCTGCGGGGCAGGGGGCGCTCTCCCCTGGCATTCAGTGCTGCCCCGCAGTGTGCCGCTAGGGGGCGCTGTACTGTGGGCAGTGAGGCAGGAGGCGCTCTCTCCCCTGGCATGCAGGGCTGACCCCGCAGTGCGCCACTAGGGGGGCGCTGTACTGTGGGCGGTGAGGCAGGGGGCGCTCTCTCCCCCGGCACACAGGGCTGACCCTGCAGTGCGCCACTAGGTGGCGCAGTGCTGCAGGCAGCAGGGCTGGGTTCAGCATCTCAGCAGGGTGAGGGGGCACACGTTGCCCATGGGGGCAGGCAGATGGGGGGCCCTGTGCCCCAGCCTGTGCCGGTTGCTCCTGGGCAGCCCTGCCCCATTCCATGGAATGGTGGGTTCTCGGGGTGGGGAACGGGGGCCGGACAATAGCTGC